AAGAGGAAGATCCCGAAAATTTCAGTCTCTGCTTTTCACTTACCTACGTTGTGTACGGTTGTTTCAATGTTTGATGACTGAGAGTTGCCTAGATGTATTCACACACTCAAAAATTACTTCCAAGTTTTTTTCAGATTTCTTTTAATTTTTTTCCGCAAAATGTGCGATATCAAATTGACGACGAATAGGAAAATTGCAATTGTAAATGCTATCAAATGGAAATGATTGGTGTAATTCGATTTGAGTCTCTGAAAATTACGCTTTATCAAAAATGACGGATCGTAAAATGTAAATTTGCAATTTTCTCTTGTACAATACGGTGTCATTATGATGAAATCATGTGAATGAATTGACAGCTCAAGAAATGAGTGCAATCGAAACAGTTTTTATGCGTTCATCAGAATGAATTCGTCTAATGTTTAATGAATATAGTTGAGGTGTTTTTTGAATGGTTAAATCTTTTTCATCTGTTCAAATTTTCAAACATTTGCAGTAAATTTTTGCTGTAAATAAGCAGGTGATAAACATTCTGGCCAAAATAGAACGACATTCGTCTCCACACAGATAGAAAACTATTTTTTTACTTGATTAAAAAAGTTACTCAAATAAATTGTAATCAATACAATTGTTACTTTGAAAAATATGAAATTTTTTATTGAATTGAAATATATTTGTGAAAAGTATGAAATGGTTGGGATATCTTTATGGTTGTCATTGAATTTCAATGCTGGACATATTTATGCTAAATGAATTAATATATATTAGGAGTTATTTTTTACAGGTTTTATGAAGACCATTTTTTCCACCAGATTAGTGAGGTCATGGTCATGGTCTATATTAATTTCGACATCTTGGTCCATTTCTACCTTAGTCTTACGCCGCTTCGAGTAATAGTAACGGCCACGTACCCTACCATTGAATCGAATACGATATTTAAAATCTGGTCGAATGATAATTGGTGTTGAAAGATGGATTATGGTCTCACATTGCGATTGAAAAATGACTTGATTCGAGTCAATGATTTTTTCATCCCAAGAAAACCCCCAAAATGAGGGTCTCTCATTTGAAAGTTCATATATCTCTATTGTCGTTGGCACGGTACTCGCAATCTCACCTTCTTCACCATCGTTATAGAATACTTTTCCACAGTGAATTGTTTTTAAGAATATCTCGCAATTGGATGCAAATACAACGCTGTGGTTTTCAAAATTGGTCCGTTCGCGTCTCAAATAATTTTCATCAATCAGATTACAAATAAGTTCTTTGTTACTATATTTGTAAATTTGGCTCGCTTTTCGACCTTTGGGATTAAATTTCGATGGTCGATGTTCCTTAGATGCAATCATGCCGATAATGTCTGTGAATTCTTCAATCGAAAATAGACCTCCGTAAGAACTATATCGAGGGTAGAAACTTTCGGCCGTCATATCGCCAAACCGAATCTCGTAAAACAAGTCGCCCAACTGATCGCGAAGATTCTGCATGTTCGTTTCGTCCAATCCTTTCTTAATGCAGGCGGCTTTTGCCCAGGTCATACAACCGTCAAACACCACCGATTCGTCACAGTTAAATGTGTCCAGCTGCAAGATTCTTGCCAATAAATTCGATCCACATGATAGGAAACTGTTGGACTGGAAGATTCCTATTGGGTTCTCGCCAATTTTTTGTTCACAGAACTTCATCAACTGAGCTTGTTCGAAGAGAATCGCCAGCTCATAGCCAACGCACATGTTGTCCAATGTTAAAGTTTTCTCGGTGAAGTTGGAAATGGTCATGCAGCACTCGTCGACTAAATATTGTTTGCCGAGATTCATGACGTGCGTCGCATTTTCGTTGGTCAATTTTACCGTTCCAAGATAGAAGAATTGCAGAAATTCCTTGAATGCCCCGGGAGTTGAGTCAACGATTGGGATGTCACCTTCTTGTTTGCGCGGACCATAGAACATCGCGTCAAATGCTCCGCTGTTGGCCGATAGGATGTTTTTGTGCGCTGGAACTTTCACGGTGTCTTCATCATCGAATTCAAAGACGAAGAATACGTCGGCCGTTCGAGTGTCCATATACAGCTTCTCGCAACCACGCCACGGCAACACATTGCTGTAAACAATCGGAGCAAGCTCTTGTGCCATTGCCGAATTCGATTTGGAATGTAAATATTGTTGATGAACAATTGATCAGCAGTAGTAAATCACGTTAAATGATAGCACCTGTCAAACTTCTGTGGTGAACTATGCGAATGGGAAAGATGAAGGGAAATTTTTTTTTTTATTAATCAAAATAATGTTATTTATTCAAACAATCAGGATTTCCGGTGTTTTTATCGAATTGTCCATTTCTTATTTCTGATCTCAATAAATGAGGAACGAAAATTTGCTTTTTACTTACGTTTTATAATAGGTTGATGAATGAAATTGTGTTATCACTTGTTTTAAAGTTCGTTTTATATTATTCACACAATGTACGATAGACAAGAAATACCACAAGGGCGACGAAAAGACAAAAAAATAGCAAACACTAAGCAGGTGATGATGACAAAGGCTTTTTTTTGCAAATTTCGCATCAATTTCCGTTTGAAGAGAACAAGTTACGACTTTGACTGCCACAATTCAACTGATTCCAATGTTCTGCACCAGCAGTAGCTATCTAATATGCTTTAACAATGGTTGACGTTTAGAACTGCTGTGGAAACTTTGTTGGGAGCGCCGCCAACCACAAATCTCTGTGACTATACGTTTGTGTGAAAGTAAAGTCTTTGTGTGTACGTTCGTGTGAATGCGAAGAGTCTATGTGTGCGTTGTACACAGAGATGTTGATTCGTGCAAACGTCGCATCCAACATCGCATCATTTTAGGCGGCGCTATTGATATACTTTGCTTCAATCGTCAACAAAATACATGAAGTATTTCTCCGTTTTGTTCTGCACTTTGACTTTTGCATTTTCGTAGTAACCATCAGGTACGAGCAGATTAGCTCGACTATTTGCTAAGAAGTTAAGAAAATGACAGAGAAGAAGAGTGTACTGAATTTATCCGAAAGAGAAATGCATTGTTTCTACTCCAATAGACTACTGTCTTAGGTAATTAAGACGATGCATATGCAGCAACAGACGTTCAGCCTAATCCTAATAGCCAATCTCTCCAGTGTAAGTTCCATATTGACTTTATTACTTTTCACATTTATATTTGTGTTTTCATTGTATTTTTTCTCATCTCACTCCATCCGCATCGACATCATCCATGCAAGTCGTTTAACAGAGTGTTGCGACTCGACTGTCAAAAGTTCGATTTAAAGCTGTGTTTTCGATGAACAAAGTGAACTAATGCTCTGTGATAAACATTTTGGCTAAATTAGAACGAAATTCATTTCCGCACAGCTAGTACCAGAAAAAAACCATATTTTTTGCTTAATTTTTTATTGAACTGAAATATATTTATAAAAATAATGAAATGGTTGGGATTTTTGATGTTTATCATTGATTGAGACACAATGTTTGACATATTTTTATTCTTGAATGAAATAATATTTTACGAGTTATTCTCTACAGGTTTTATAAAGACCATTTTTTCCACCAGGCTACGGTCATAGCGAGGTTGCAAATTAATTTCAACACCATGGTCGTTTTCTACTCTAACCTTACGGGCCTTAGACAAATAGTAACAGCCAGGCAAAATAACTTCAAATCGGATACAATATTTGAAATCTGGTCGAATGATAATTGGTGTTGAAAGATGGATTATAGTCTTACGTTGCGATTGAAAAATGACTTCATTGGATCCAATGAGATTTTCATTCCATCTCTTTTCCATCAGCGAAATTCCTCTCTCATATGAAAGTTCATATATCTTAATTATCGTTGGCACCGTGCTCGCAATTACACCCACTTTACTATCGTAATGGAATACTTCCCCACAGTGAATTGTTTTTAAGAGCAACTCGCAATTGGATGCAAATATAAAGGAGTGGTGCTCTAAATAATCGCGTCGGTGGTTCAAACAAGTGGTATCAATCAGATTACAAATCAGCTCATAATTGTTATTATTGCAGTTTTGGCTTGTTTTTCGACCATTACGATTGAATTTCGGTGGTCGATGCTCTTTAGATGTAATCATACCAATGATATCTTTGAATTCTTCCAACGAAAACAAATTTCCATAGGACTGATATCGTGTATAGAAGATTTCGGCCGTCATATCGCCAAACCGAATCTCGTAGAACAGGTCACCCAACTGATTTCGAAGATTCTGCATGTTCGTTTCGTCCAGTCCTTTCTTAATGCAGGCGGCTTTAGCCCATGCCATACAACCGTCAAACAACACTGATTCGTCACAGTTGAATGTGTCCAGCTGCAAGATACGAGCCAGTAAATTCGATCTACAAGACAGAAAACTGTTGGACTGGAAGATTTCCTCTGGATTTTCGCCAATCTTCTGTTCACAGAACTTCATCAACTGAGCTTGTTCGTTGGTCAATTTTATCGCTCCAAGATAAAAGAATTGCAGAAATTCCTTGAATGCCGCGGGAGTTTAGTCGATGATTGGTATATCACCTTCTTGTTTGCGTGGGCCATAGAACATCGCATCGAATGCATCGCTGTTAGCTGAAAGGATGCTCTTGTGCGCCGGAACTTTCACGGTATCTTCACCTTCGCATTCAAAGACGAAAAATACGTCGGCTGTTCGAGTGTTCATATACAGCTTCTCACAGCCACGCCACGGCAAAACATTGCTGTAAACAATCGGAGCATGTCCTTGTGCCATTGCAAAATTCGATTTGGAATGTAAATATTGTTGATGAATAATAATTGATCAGCAGTAGTAAATTACGTTAAATGATAGCACCTGTTGAACTTCTGTGGTGAACTATGCGAATGGGAAAGATTGGGAATAAATCAAAATAGTTTTATTTGATGAATCAATGTCGAATTTTCTATTTTTAATTTTGATCTGGGTAAATGAAAAAAATGCTTTTTACTTACGTTTTATTAACGGCTGATGGATGAAAATCTTTCATATGGTATTGACAATTAATTGTAGTTTTAATTTCGTTTTATATTACTCACAAAGTGTGCGATTACAAAGGCGACGCATAGGCGAACAAAATAGCAAACAATAAGCAGCTAATGACAAAGACAATTTTTCCAATTTCGCATCAATTTCTGTTTGAAGATAGAACAAGTTACGACTTCGGCTGCCAAAACACAACTGATTTCAATGTTCTGCACTTTGACTTTTGCATTTCCGTGCCGACCATCATGTTCGAGCAGATTAGCACGAACATTTGTTAAGAAGATAAGAAAATGACAGAGAAGAAGAGTGTACTGAATTTATGCGAAAGACAAATGTATTGTTTTTCCCCCGAAAGACGGTAATCCCAGTTCCCAGGTAATTAACATACAGATGCATATATGCAGATGAAGAAATAAACAATGTTTGTCAAACACTCAGCCTAAGCCAATAAGCCATGATATTCAATGTTTTATTTTATTTCCGCTTAAGAAAAACTTTGTGTGTTCTGAAAATAATGCATACAAAAACATCAATAAGCAAATGAGAAGTGTGGTATCAAATTCCATGTCAGAGCATCATATAACATTTTTTTATCGATTAAAATATTTTAATGAAAAACAAGAATTGGCTGAGATTTTTGTTAATTTTTTTAATCAAATTTCCTCTGAATCACAAATCCCAATTTATTCTTATTTTGAAGACTAAAAGTAAGACATTTGGAAAGTTTTTAACGAGAGGTTATTCTTCGATTTATATACTCTTCAGAGTATCCGGTAACATAAGTTAACCTTTTGTCCTAAATGCGAAAAGTGCCAAATATTTTATATATTAATATTAAACAAAAGCAATGAATATTTTTGCGTGCTTATATCAAAATCATTCGTAAATGAAAACAAAGTTGAGCATGAAAGGTTAAATTTTAATATATTGAACTATGATTATTATTTAGATTAGCATGTGTTCAGTATGCGAATATTTGAGAATAAACGATTCATTCTCAAAGTTTCATAAAGATCATTTTCTTCACCAGTCCAGGATTTCTACTTGCTGGTACCTGTTCAAAGCTATCTTCCAGTATGGTTTCATAATTGAAATCAATTTCGATGCCTTGATCCATTTGCACTTTGGTCTTAAGGGTCATCAGAGTGTAACATCTCCAAATTTGAAGTTTAAAGCGAATTTCATAATTGATACCCGGTTTAATGACAATTGGCGTTTGAAGTTGGACGATGGTTTACTGCATAGGTTGAATAATCAATTGATCCGAATAAAGTGTTTCTCCATTCGAATTGTCCACCACATCCACTATACCTGGTACAAATTGGACTGACTTCCACACATTATGACGATTTTCATGAACTACATCACGACATTCGAATAATTCATTACAGTAAATTGTTTTCAGTAACAATGCGCAATTCGATGTAAGTGACGTAGTATTTCGTAGTCGCTCACCAATATTTAGATTGTATCGTATGTTGTTCGCACAATTTCTATCAATCCGATCACAAATCAAATCATTGTTATTATTTTTGTATTTTGGGCCTGTTTTCCGATCCTTCCAATTGAATTTCGATGGTCGATGTTCCTTAGATGCAATCATGCCGACAATGTCTGTGAATTCTTCTTGAAGGACAAAAACTCTCGGCCGTCATATCGCCAAACCGAATCTCGTAGAACAGGTCACCCAACTGATTTCGAAGATTCTGCATGTTCGTTTCGTCCAGTCCTTTCTTAATGCAGGCGGCTTTTGCCCATGCCATACAACCGTCAAACACCACTGATTCGTCACAGTTGAATGTGTCCAGCTGCAAGATATGACCCAATAAATTCGATCTACATGACAGAAAACTGTTGGACTGGAAGATTTCCATTGGATTTTCGCCTACTTTGAGTCGAATTCTCGTCGGTCAATTTCACCCATCCAAGGTAAAAGAATTGCAGAAATTCCTTGAATGCCGCGGGAGTTGAGTCGATGATTGGGATGTCACCTTCTTGTTTGCGTGGGCCATAGAACATCGCATCGAATGCATCGCTGTTGGCCGAAAGGATGCTTTTATGCGCTGGAACTTTCACGGTGTCTTCATCATCGAATTCAAAGATGAAAAATACGTCTGCTGTTCGAGTGTCTAAGTACAGTTTCTCGCAGCCACGCCACGGCAATATATTATTGTAAACAATCGGAGCATGTCCTTGTGCCATTGCAGAATACGGTTTCGGGGTGGAAATGTTGCTGATGTAGTTCACGCTACGCAATATTACCTGTTGAACTTCTGTGGTAAACTATGCGAATGGGAAAGATGGGGAAAAATATCAAAATAAGTTTAAAATTAATGAAAAAATCAGGATTTCCGCTATTTTTTTTCGAATTTTCTATTTCTAAATTCGGATCTGGGTAAATGAGAAATGAAAATATGCATTTTTACTTACGTTTTATCAAAGTTTGATCTTTAATGGATGAAAATCTCCTTTATGTTATCACTTGGAAATTGCTTGTAGTTTTTATTTCGTTTTATATTATTCACACAATGTATGTTAGACAAAAAGTACTGCAAGGCGACGAATAGACAAAAAAAATAGCGAATACTTAGCAAATGATGACAAAGATTATTTTTCAAGAGAAAACAATTTACGGCTTCTGCTGCCCAAACTCAACTGATTTCAATGTTGTGCGCTTTGACCTTTGCATCTCCGTGCCGACCATCATGTTCGAGCAGATAAGCACGAACATTTGTTAAGAAATTAAGGAAATAACAGAAAAGAAGAGTGTACTGAATTTATGTTAAAGACCAATGCATTGTTTTTACTCCGAAAGACAGTAATCTCAGGTAATTTACATGCAGATGCAGAAACAAATATTCAGCCTAAGCCTATAACAACATTCAGATCATAAACAGCTAAGCTGCAAAGAATACAAAAGAATTTGAGTGAAAATTCATACTGCAAATGTTTTCACACAACTAATCTCTCCTGTGCAAGCTCCAGTGAGCTAATGCTAGAGCTAATGATTTGTATGTTTTTCCTTTGTAGTAATTTTTCGTTGTAAATCTATAAAATGTCCGTTTTTGAAGAACATTTTTGGGTTTTTCGTTTAAATTTTTTTTTGCATTTTGAAACTTTGTTTCAGCTGAAATAAACATCATTCGTTTCTATTCATACATTTCTTTTATTAAACAATCAAACTTTATTCGATATATAGGCAACTGTTCATGCTATTGAAATCCCGGAGTCCAATCGACAGCTTGGACCCGTTTGAGTATCACCAAACTGAATTCAATCTTTGCTTTTGCGAATTTCGTCGATAGAAAAACGTTTTCGTCAACGTAAATTGTGACCTTGCATGCACCAGCCAATCGTTTTCGCTCTTTATTCAGTCCTGACAAGTTGATGACTCCGCCTCTTTCGAAATGTGTACCACCTAGTAGATATTGAACTTTGATTTCCTTCAACTTTGGCGCATAACGCATGAATGATGCGATGACATCGGCCTTAGCTTGCATGAAGTAGATTCGTTCAATATTCACAAGATTCGTTGCCATTGATTGCCAATTTTCAAAGTATTCATCGTCCTCAATGCAAAGTTCCCGTAAATCTGGTGTTGGTGTTATTGTGGCTTCAGTACCTAAGTGCACTCTATTAAGATATAGCTTTTCCATTCCACGTACTGATGTGATTCGGTCCATATCTGTTTGATTGTCGATGTAATCAATGAACAAATGCAATCGCTTGTGGAACTCTTGTTCATATAGTTGATTCAATATACCACAAACTTCATCCATACCATTCTCAGCAGAACAGTCACCGTGAACATTCAATTGGTTGATTTTGATGTTTGATCCCAAAAAATAGTTACAATTTTTTCGTAGAAGTTGCATTGTAGTGGAAAAAATTTGAATTTTTGGATTCAATTCGAAGAATGTTTTCAGCCCGGGAAATGTACCAGCCATTCCAGAGAGGAGAACATCATTGTCATCCACGGTGAAGTGTTCAATTGTCGGATACTGACGATTTAGCCATTCATTATCTCCGCCCATCAAATCGTCGACGGTTTCAATAATAAATAAATATTTTAAATTTGAACACCATTTGAGGATCAATTCGTGTAAGTCGCCTCGAAAATCGTATATACGAATTTGTAACCTTTCCAACTGAGGAAAAATGCCTTTGAACATTTCGATGTCATCTTTGGGGTTGTCAAAAGCATCGACTAAAGCTCGCTTAATCATTTTGGACTTGTTTGGATCAAGTCGTCCAAAATATTGTAAAATACGGGTGTCAATTAAAATTCGACCGAAACCAAATTTCACCGCCGGATAATTTATTTTGATGAAATAGTCAACGGCTTGTTTCATTCGTTTGCACGTTTGACGAAGCGAACGCAAGTCGGCCAATGATAGCCACTCGAATAACTCCTCGAAACAGTCGATGTTCAGCTTGAGAATAGGCGATGACAATTCATCTGCTGCGGAATTCTGAATTCGGCTCGGACCCGCTGTTGAATTTTCCATTTCCAATTGGATGCTCCTTTTGGCTTCGATGCTTGTATCACTCATTTTCGATGCACTGACTCAAACAAATACCACTTTAGCTCTGAAAATTACCGAGAAAAAATATGAATGAATAACTCAACGGGAATTTACAGAAAAACCGAAATCTAATGCGAAAAATCGGTTTCAATTGAACTTGTCATTATACATGTTTCAATCATTTAACTTTATTTATTCCACTGTGCTCGACATATGACACGTGTTTGGTTCAAATTTGACATTCAATGTAACGTATGATTTGTATGCAATTGTTTTGTTGTTGCATTGGGTTGAAGATTCTCATTTGCAATTCATACATCCACAAAAATGGGAATAAAAATGAAAGCGAATTTAGCACATTAGATATTTTCCATTTAAATTATCAATTTTACTTTAGAATGAATGGGAATGCACATTTTTAGGATATAACACGGCGTTTACCTGCGATTATTCAAGATTTTGATTGTAAATCGATGAACAACAGTGTGAATTGAAGTCGCAGTGTTTGACAACTGGTCGTCGTACTGACTGACGTTTGTGTGATAATTATAAAAGTAAGTCAGATACATTTCAATTGTGTCGGTGCTAAAAAAACACGATGCACTTTTAGTAGGTTTGAAACATTCAAATGTTTGCATATATTCAAAATAACCATTGGTTATTGACCAATATTTAAATTATTCTATATTATTATACCAATTTATATACGAGTATCCTCTGCGATACTCTCCACTCAAATCCATACCTATTATTATTATTTAGACTCAATATACATGTGTGTAATGATGTATCAGAACTTCTGATTCAGAAGACATTCATTTAATAGGAAAATGGATGAATTTAGAATGAGAACAACGCCTAGTAGTGACTTCATTCACATAATATAATATTTGCTCATAAGCATTAGCTCATAACTAATATGAGCTAAAACTAAAATTATATTGAAGTGATAGAGATTCGATCGCAAGATAAAAATTAGTGGAATCTCACTCTTTCACTCCAATATAATCTTAGAGTTAGCTCATATTCGTTATAAGCTAACGCTTATGAGCAAATATTATGTTATATGAATGAAGTCACTGAGGCCTAGTTTAAAATGTTTATTCAAAATTTATTGGAAATATTGGGATATTCAAACAAAAAAGCAAGAGTGAAAAAAGAAAGGAACAACCAACTGTTGATTTCAAAATTGTTGATGCAAATACAGCCGAAAGCTGTGTGTACTTTATTTATTTCTGAGAAAATCGTTTAATATTTCACAATTCCATATAATTCAAATTGATGCCATGTTGTCTGCAGTTGCACGTCTTTCAAGTGTTGAAAAGTAGCAACTTTAAAAAACGTATGAGTAGACAGAACGGGTCAATGGGTATGTGATTGGGTATGAGCTCAAGACGCGGGTGGCTGGTACAATATGGTGCGTTGGCAATAAATGTGTTCTGGTAGCTAATTCATCGAAGAAGTAGTCGGTGTAGAAGCCAATAGCCACTCGGAATGTAGCGAATCCGTAATCAGCGAGTTTGTTTTGTGCTGCAATCATGTCCTTGACAATGAAGTAAACGGTTTTGCGGAATCGGTCTTCGAAGCTGTCGTACACCTTGCCGTTTTTCAACTGGAATGAATGGAAAAGTTAGTTAGTTTTTTTCTTTTGATAAACAATCTATCATATGTCTTCACCTTGTATGTGTTCCATTCATCTTGAGACTCTTCCAAAATTGAACGCAATGAAAAAAGTTCGTCACGTGTGTAGTCGGCGAAAATGTCCAATTCCAATTTTTCCGTACTGATTCCGAATCGGATGAGCTCGTCGTATTTGGCCACCTTTTCTTTGGTTGCAAAGTAAATGTTGCGACGGAAACGATCTTCAATTCCGACGTACGACTTTCCGAATTTGGCCTGAAGTTTAAGAACATAAATTAATTACTCCGTTCAAAAAGTAAATTAAAACGCCACATAGTTAAGTCGATTTTAAGCAAATAGCAAACGATTCACTAGATGTAGTTGAAGAACCGTTGCTGATTTCGATTGAAGTTGGTATCGATTTTGAATCCGATTTAATGAATTTCATTTATTACCTTGTAAGCTTCCCATTCCGTCAATTCTACGGATGTAACAGTTGGAATAATGCTTGGGACAACCGATGATACAATGGGCGATACAACGGTTGGGATGACTGGATCAGCGATGCGAAGGACTGTTGCGGCATTGCCAATGGCAAACATACCAACGATTACAACCAAGAATTTCATGATGATGCCTACGAATTGAAAATTTCTATTCAAATTAGTAAAAAAAAAAATGCAAACCAAAAAATGTTCTGGGAAATGGAAGGAAAGTTGAATTTTAGATGGATGATGATGAGAAGAATGATGTTCTTGAAATGTTAAAACCTACACTTGAATTTTTTTTTTCGAAATTGTCAAATATTGATGTTTTCTGATCGAACACCAAATACTGTATGATTTCAATGTCGATCAGCAGAGTTTATATATGATTTCAATTAAAACATACACCAAAAATGACCGAATGGCAAAAGATTTTAAAAAAAAGTTCATGATAAGAGCCGGTTTTTGCTTTATTCATAAAAATGCCTCGCGCAACCGGATAAGTTAAGGTAACATGTTCCGAACTTTGAAGTTTAGCGAGCCACGCTGGAACTAATTCGGCAATTTCCATTTAAATGGTAATGTTCAGTAACTTCGAGTTCTGTTAAACGATATCTACTAATAACGACACCGCCAGGTGTGATTACTTTCGGCACAAGACGTTACATTTCAAACGGTATCAACCTAGCTATCAACAAACAAAAACGGTAATCATAAGACTCACCAGTGACCACAGTTTTTCGGATGCAAAACATTTTAGAATTTTGGATTTTGATTATCTCGATTATTTTTTGAGTTATCGTGCTACGAATAACGATGACGACAACGACGGCACACGAACGGAAAATTGCTTCAAAAATGTGTTTTCTATGCGTTGACGAATATTCTACCCCATTTGATAAGAATGCTAGTGCTTTCTCTACGTGAGTGTTTAATTTAGCCTATGACAATTATTTCTCTTGATAAAATCATTTCAATTAAAATGTGGTCACTGGTCACTGGTCAGTCTAGACCGCATTTATTCGTTCGTAGATATGATTGATCAAATTTCACTTTGAAATGCAACGTCTCGTTCCGAAAGTAATTACACCTGGCGGTGTAGTTATAAGTAGATATCATTTAACTGAACTTGAAGCTACTGAACATTACCATTTAAATGGAAATTGCCGAATTAGTTCCAACGTGGCTCGCTAAACTTCAAAGTTCGGAACATGTTATCTTAACTTATCCGGTTGCGCGAAGCATTTTTATGAATAAAGCAAAAATCGGCTGTTATTAAGAACTTTTTTAAAAATCTTTTGCCATTCGGTCATTTTTGGTGTATGTTAATTGAAATCATATATAAACTCTGCTGATCGACATTGAAATCATACAGTATTTCCCATGAAAAAAACCGACAAGAGATATCAGATCGAGGTGCTCGATAAATCTGTTGCGAAATTGTTTCTCTAAAGCCGTTATCGGCCAGGCAAGTTATCAATTTTTTCTGGAGGCTGTTTTTGTATGTTATTTGTTTTCTATTAAAACCAAATATGTTTTAAGCTATCAAGCTCGAAGCCTAAGTTTTAATCGTTGAGTTGTGTTATTGATCGTTATTCGTTTAACTTAAACAACTTTCTACAAAAAAGTTGTCAACATAAGTCCAAAAGTGAATGGTAGAATTTCCGACCAGCGGCCGATAATGGGTTAAAGCTCTTCATATAGAATTTGTTTTTTTCGTGCGCGATTTGTGTGCAACTGATAAGAGATAAAGAGATATTTGGCCGTAGTAAGAATATGCTCCTGAGACATGCACTTTACATCCACATGTAAACATATATGTTGGATATATGGATATATCCTCCTAAAACAGCCAACAGTATCATCAAAAACATACTCGCTTTTTTGGACATTTAAATACAAGAAAAAACTTTCTTTTCTGTCCATCTCACTCATAGACACGAAAGTTTAGTTCTTTCTGCTTACTCTGGGTATGTAAAATTAATTAGATAAGACAATTATTTCTCTTCATAAAACAATTTCAATCAAAACATGGCCAGTTTATTCTTTATTAAGAAGACTATAGTCTTTGTTTTTTTTCTTCTAAGTTTTAATTAAATTAGAAAAAGTCATTTGGGAGTGTAACGCCTCAAGTCAAAAGCAATCACACCTGCCGGTGTAGTTTTAAGTAGATATCGCTTTAATTGAACATTTCATATGTTGAACTAGTTCAAATATTGAACTTTAAACCATAAAGTTCCGAACTTATCGCCGCAACCTATCCGGTTGTCACATTAGCCCACTATTGACTATTTAGGCGTGCTTAAGTGGTTTGAAAAAAAAGATCCTGCAATTATATTCGGCGGTAACACGAAATTTTATTGAAATTTTTTGTCAGAAGTTTGTTGATGTACACTAATCAAAATCATATATAAGCACTGCTGTTCGACTTGGAAATCATTCAGTATTTGATGTTCAATCAAAACACCTCAGAAATTGGAAACTTTTCGACAAAAATTGTAAGCTTTAATTTTGTGATAGTTTTGTGTGATTTGTTACAAAAAACAAACAAATTTTGTTCTTTTTGACGATCAAAATTTTGCTTTGAAAAATTAAATTTTTCATATTTTCCAATAAATTCTTGATGCAAAAGTTTTGTTTTTACTAATTTCAATTCGTAGGCATCATCATGAAATTCTTGATTGTAATCGTTGGCATGTTTGCCATTGGCAACGCTGCCACATTCATTCGCTTGGCTGATCCAGGTGTCATTCCATCGGTTGTATCCCCATACGTAGCTCCACTTGCTCACAGCATCGTTCCAGCCGTCGTTCCAGCTACAGAATTATACGACTGGGAAGCCTACAAGGTACGTTTGACCTGATAATCAATTCAAGGTCGAAATTCGAAAAGAATTGGTTGTTAATGGGGAAAATGCCTTGAATATATTTTTTCCTCCAATTTCTCATTCATTTTTCATTCACTTTAGACAAAATTCGGCAAATCGTACGTTGGACTTGAAGACCGTTTCCGTCGTGGAGTCTACTATGCAATCAAACAGAAGATTGCCAAATATGATGAACTCATCCGTTTCGGAATCAGCACGGAAAAATTGGAATTGGACAGCTTCGCCGACTACACACGTGACGAACTCTTCGCATTGCGCTCACTTTCGGAAGAATTCCAAGCTGAATGGGACGAATACAAGGTAACGAATCGATTGAAATATTTGACTGTTTTGAACTTTTGGTCTAAATCATAAATAACCCTCAATTTCAGTTGAAATACGGCAAAGTGTACGACAGCTTCGAAGACCGATTCCGCAAAACCGTCTACTTCATCGTAAAGGACACATACGAAGCACACAACAAATTGGCTGACCGTGGATTTGCTACATACCGTTTGGAAATCAGCAAAATCACCGACTACTTCCACGATGAATTGGGATCAGGATTGTTGCCAGCTACTCGTGTTTTGAGCACATACCCAGCCAGTTATCCATACAGCTACCCAATCACACACCCACTCTCATACACCGTTGACCCATTGACCCGTTCTTACTTCCGATACATTTAAAGTGATTCCAACACTTTAAAGTCGATAAGGTGTAGACAACTGGCATTGATATGGATTGCAATGATTTCTTAAATGGAAAAAATGATTTTTCCCTGAAATAAATAAAAACTTTCAGCTTTCGGCTGGATTTGCATTGAAAAAATTTTGTTTGGATTTTTTTTACTCCATTTGTAGCAACATATGAGGCTGTGAGAATGAAAATGGCAATACAGGAATAAACATTCTGAAGCGCATCAAGAAAAAAAAATCGCAAAAGTGAATCATGAGTTCTGAATACGCAAAAGTGAACCATGAACCTCCTATGCTGCCCATGTAAATTCGTGTTTCACTTTTGCATATTCAGAACTCATGATTCATTTTTGCGAATTATTTTTCTTGATGCGTTTCAGAATGTTTATTCCTGTATTGCCATTTTCATTCTCACAGCCTCATATACAAGTTGGTAATTGAAATGTGAATCACTTTCAGTTAGAAAATCTGCGAATTTCGATAAGTTCAACAGCGCTTTTTTGAAATGTTGGATGAAATGATGAAATTGCATCTCATTATTCTGCTCAAAATACGTGAAATCGCTATAGATTTTTAATGAATTTATTTATAATTTACAAAATTCAATCAACTATGGAAATTCTTTTATTTATCTTTAATTTAGTACATTTATCTACCATTGGTAAGCATATTGCTTTGTTCATATTCTCTCAAGTGTCATCAGACACCAGAAAATCACAACTTATTCAACGGAAAAATTTAATTCCAGTCAAATTTTAATGGAATTTTAATCAACATTAAAATCTCAAAATAGTACAAAAACTTTAATGTTCACTTCAGCAGAATTAATCTAACCGAATCTAAAACATTTCGATTCAAATGAGCCATCGGAATCAATAACGTGATATTTTAAATTGAACCAATTTTCAAAATGTGAAATTTTGGATTGATAAGAAAACCATATGTGTCACTTAGCCGCAGAGCATTGACCCAGGTTAGTAGCATTAAATAAAATCAGAATTGAACATATTGTACAGTTTTTTGTGCATATCATAACGAGCTACTATTATTGGCCCCAAGGCACCAATTATTGTTCGTTATAACGAACTAATTACTTACCAAACGATGAATATTATGGAAAATGCCCAAAAGAGAAATTAATTAGAAGATATTGCTCAACCGCCTACGACTATTTTTGAACTTGTTTTGTTCAGTTTTTGACACTTATTTTATCGGTTATATCTGAAAACTTGTCGCATGGACTTGTTATGAAGTTCATGACTTCTCAGCTATGCCACAAATTTGAGTTTAGCAAATAACATTGCGAAGAAACATCATTTCATGACTTTGAAATCCATACACAATTTTGTTAGCTATTGCAAAACTTTGTGTGGCTTTCAAGTGAATAGAAATGTATAATAGAAAATTGTAGAATAAATTTGATTGAATGTAAATAAACGCACATTCAGTTGGATCGTCTGAACTGATTTCTTCTGAAAAAAATTGCCTTTAAATAAATAAATAAATGGGTTTTATGTTTTTATTAAAAAAATATTATATTATTTTTGTTTCATGTTTTTTGGCCCTATCTACATTTCTTTTATTGCATAATTTGCCCATATTTCTTCTTTACATTTCAATTTTTCTTACATTTTCTTCATTATTTCCTCATAAGAAATTTCCATTCTTTGCAGTTTTTTACAACTAACAAGAATTCTTCAATTTATAATTTTCAATCAACTTATCAATCAAATTGATGTATCCACTCGACTGCCTCGAATCTTTTCAATGTAACCAGACCGAATTCGGTTTTGTTTACGGCGAATTTTGTGGCAAGTAAAATGTTTTCTTCAACATAAATTGTGAGTTTATTCGCGCCAGCCAAGCTCTTTTGTTCCTTGTTCAATGCGGCAAGGATCGATGATGCCATTTTTAAAATGAGGCCCCTTCCTCTAGTTCATCGATTTTGATCTTCTTCACCTTCGGTGCGTGTTGCAGTAACGGTGTAATCACATTGGATTTAGCCTTTTCAAAATAAACCCGTTCCAAATTCACCAAATTTCGTGCAATTGTTTCGAAATCATCGAAGTAGCTTCCGTTGTGAAGAGTCAATTCTCGTAAATCTGCCATTAACGGTAGAGTCGATTTTATACTGAATCCTGATAAATGCAGTTTTTCCATGCCACGTACCGAGATGATCGAGTCGATGTCTTCTTGTCCACAATTGAACATGGGATACATGTGAACTCGCTTGTAAAATCCTTGTTTCATAAAGTTTGTTCAGTACTCTGCACACCAGATCCATGCTGTGCACTGCTAAACAGTCACCATTCATATCCAATCGATTGATTTTAATGTTTGATTCAAAGAAGCGGTCTCGATTCACCCAAAGGTAATCGAAAGTTGTTGAAAATATTTGAATGTTTGGATTTAATTCAAAGAATGTTCTGAGTTCTTCAGCTTCAGCACCATGTCCCGTTCCACTATAGTCGGTGTCATTGAGCACGATGTGCTCGAGCGACGGATAATGACGTAATAGCCACCGGTTTTCTTCACCAATCACCCTATTTCATAAAATATGAAGGATCAAAAGACACTTCAGGTTGGAACACCATTTCAAGAGTGAGTCATAGAACTCACCCTCGAGCTTCAAAATGCCGATGTGAAACTTTTCGATCTGAGGCAAGTTGTCCGCAAAAATATCAATCTCTTTCTTGGTCAAATGATTCGCATATATGGTGGGCTCTTTGATCATTACAACACTTGTGCTGTCGTAGTGGTGGAACGTGCCGAATTCATGTTCTTGCAGCCTAATTTTTCCACGTCCTATTTTCATTGCCGGGTAGTTTGATGTTATGAAACAGTCAACCACTTGGCGTAATCGTTTGTACGATTGGCGAAGCGAACGTAAATCGGCCAATGATAACCACTCGAATAACTCTTCTAAACCGTCGACATCTAAATTGAGAATAGGTGAAGACAGTTGTCGTTCATTGTGAAGATTCTGATGTTCTGGTCTCACGACGGAATTTTGACTTTTGCTTTCGTCAACCGGTGATCGGTGAACATAGAATGTTTGATCGGATTTTTGGCTCGAATTCATCTCTCATTTCGGGGCCGACTTATGAGAATGGTGTTTCGAGAGTGTTGTTTTGAGAATGGTTATTATTAGTGCTACTGTCGATGGTGCTGAAAGTGAATAATTGGATTCGAATGAAAATGAATGCTTGTTAGATGAATTGAATAAATTCGTCGCAATCGGAATAGTTACCTCGCTTATTCCAAGTTCAACGTACTCATCTCAATAACGCCAACATAGAAGAAAAAACAATTACGTCAATAAAGATTATCCACGTTGTGATTCTGTAAAATGGCTAAGATTAATACCAATTTCTCTTTGAAAAAATTTCATTTTTTTTCCACTTCAATCTACTTATGAGTAGATACGAATAATTATTTTTTCGATTTTGAATCGTTTTGTTTTCTCTCACAAAAAGCGATATTCATTTCTGGAAAACACCTAAAAATGACCATCACCAAAGAATAGTGGAAAAAATAAAATTTGATGCAATTTTCAATTGGAAATGTTTCGCTTACATTTATTTTTCTGAATCGGTTACAATCGTTGTGAGGCATTCAACCCAAGTCAAATCGTGAAATAAGCTACCTTTTTTCGAATTATGATTGAGCAATTTGCACGCAATAGTTTTGTTGTTGGAATTTGAACTCTTGAATAGGACACTTGTGTTGACAATTTGCACGGAACACTGAGAACGAAAACAAACAACCAAAAATACTCAAAAGTAAATAGCAGAAAAATTAAAATGATATGATAAAACAAGTAAAATTGAAAATTGATGTGAAAATGAAACGATATAAATTGGATCATACCTAATAAAATTGCTTGCAATCGCCTAATGTTTACAAGTTTCATTCAATGTTGCAAGTGGAAGCGAATAAATGCAATATAATCGACAGCTGCAGCTGTTGTAATGACATGTTATCGATACAAATTGTCAACTGTCACATTCATTCCAATCACACTCACTGTCAGTCAACTGGACTTATTCAAAAGAATTGCGGCTGAAAATGTAAATGAAACCTTTGTTCATACAGAAAAACAACAACAACAACCAAAATAAAAACAAAAGAATTGTGCTCTGATCGCTAAAGGCATTTATTGGAGTTTTATTGTTACAAAATTTTGAAAAACTGATTGAATGATTTTAGGCTATGTTCTGTTTCCTATTCTTATGTGATAAATTGTATGATTCTTAAGTAACTTGAACATTTGAGTTCATCAACAATTTCAATTCTTTGAAGATTTATTTCGAATTAAATGAAAAGAATGAAAAAAACCAGTTTCAAATAGTTGATTGTTAGGCAGCAAAATACTAAAATTAATTTGAGACAATTTTGATAAAGTGATTTTTTCAAATTATAAATTGAATTCTCAAATTAAAACTAAAATTTTAAAAATTGAAATAAGAAAAAAAAACTGTTATTTTATCAATTATTTTTTTTCTAAATTAAAACTAATTGCACAGTAACAGAAATCGAAAGAAATGATACACCTATTGAAAAAAGTAAAACAAGTGAAAAAAGTAAAAATTAAAAAAATCATGAATTTGATAATATTTGAACCGAATCTGAAAAAAAAGGTTCAAAAATAAGAAAAAAATTGTAAAAAATAAGAAAAATATGGTCAAAGAATCTGATAATTAAAAAAACAAATGATCCCAAATGTATGTTTCGGCTCGTTTCAGCTCAATCAAGCTATAGTCAGTTGTACCCATGGTCCATTTTGTTTCGAGATACCATTTTTCTGGGACATAAATGGTAATTTTCGATGCGCCCACTAATTCTTTGCGATATTTATTCAGTGTTATTAGATCCAGTGTAATATTTTCAGATCGATTACCATGTTCAAGTCGATTGATTTTAATTTTATTCACATTTTGAGCATGTTGAATGAATGGTAAAACATCGTTTATTGTCGCTTGAGCCACAAAAATCCGTTCAATGCTCGTCAGATTCTGTGCTATTCGGGTCAATTGTTCTGGATCTTGTACGCAATTCATAGCGAGTTCTTTGAGCTCATTCAACGGTGGCAAAACAATAGATTCTTTGTTATTTTTCAAATATAATTTTTCAAGGCCTTTCAATTCGGACAGATCTCTTAGCGTATCTGTCGTTAAAAACATAACATAAACATGAATATGCTTGTAAAATCCTTGGTCATAAAGTGTGTTCAATAAGTCACTTGTGCGTTTTATGTTCGATGCGAATCCAGTTATCTCCAGTTGATCCAGTTTGATGTTGGCACCGAGCCAACAGTCAGTATTTCGCCGTAGAAAATTGAAAGTCGTGGAAAAGATGCGAATGTTTGGATTTTGTTGAAAAAATGTTCTGAGCAAAGGCACTTCCCAACCCTCTTCAGGTCCACCACTATCAAAATCATTTACCAAAAAGTGCTCCAGCAATGGGTATTGCTGCAGCAACCAAAGATTTTCTCTACCGTCTTCAGTGCGATTCGGCCCTTTTAACATGGACATATATTTTACGTTCGGGCAAAATTGCAAAAAATTCTCGTAAAATTCACCATCAGCTGGCCAACCGATGAGCAATCGTTCGATTTGTGGTAAAATATCTCTAACGACGTCAATCTGATATGAATTTAAATCTTCCGTCCAAAAATGTACCTGTCGAATCGCTCTAGTTGTAACGGAATCAAGGTTGTGAAACGTTTCGAAATCAGTCGGAAATATGGCAATCTTTTTGAAACCCATCTCAATCGTCGGGTAATTGGCTTTGATGTAATAGTTTACCACATGCCGCAGTTGCTTGCACGTTTGACGAAGCGTCAACAAATCAGACAGAGACAACCATTCGAATATCTCTTCGAGGCAATCAATATTTAACACGAACAACTCTGGCGATGACTCATCTATGGACAATCCAGCCAATGTACAGCGCAAGTAGAGATTTGTTATCACGTCCGAAAAATTAAATCGAAACATTTTCGGCTAATTTTTTAGAGAGACGAATCTCTCGGTCAGTTATTGCTTTGTTTGGATTAGATGCTCTTCTCTTAGTTCTCATGGGTGATTTCACACTTGGAGGAACTAAAACTGGTTTTCGATTGAAGACACGATTTTTGATGGTCCGGTCGATGTCGGTTCAACTGTTGAAAAGACACGGAAGAATTTTTTTGAAGAAAAATGAGAGAAAAAAGTGAGAAAAAAACGAAAAAAATGGAAAAAATGAAAAAAAACGAAAAAAAACGATTTCAATTCAAAGCCTGGAGTTTTGAAAACTTTGAAAAATCTTTTTTCTTTCATTCAAACCTGTTCAAACCAAGGAAAAATATAAAATTTCAATAAAAATGATTGAAACTTCACTTGAGTTTTGTTTTTTTTTTTAATTAAATTTATCGCGAAAAAATTCACTGTCATCTCAAAAAGTCAATGAGCAATGTTCATCAACAAATTTGCGCAAATTTGTCTAATGTCATTAACATGTACGTCAATTTGTTCCGTGTGATTCACATTCAGAAAAAAGTTTCGTTTTAATCGGTTTTATTTCATCAACACACATCACGAATATTGCATAAAATGACTCATGATACTGCATGATGTGACTCATAACATTGCACTTGCAACGTGTAACATGCAATGTTTGTGTGGCAACAATTGATTGCGGCTCACAATGCAATTGACACTGGTAAAAATTCCAGAATCGAATCTCATTTCCAATTGAATCACATTTTCAACAATAATTCTCTCAATAGAAAAAGTAGTGCGTATTTGATTGAATATTAAATCGATAAAATCATTAAATAACAAGCATTGAAATAGTAAGATAGTTTGGACACAGTGAAAAATACGATTTGAATTATTTTCAATATTGATTTCTTGCTTTGTATTGTCTTAATTTGATTCGATCGAAACTTACATTTTGCCACATTCAACTTGGTTCAAATGATTTCCCTTTCACTTAGAAACGCAAAAAAATAATATTCTTTGACCTCCTACGCGTTGAAAACATTGTTTACTGCTTCCAACAAAGACTAGCCGACGAATGCGTGACAAGTGTTGAGCGAAAAAAAAAACATTGCTTGACAGAATCAGTCACACGGCTTGACGTTTGCATCAGCTGTGCAGTGACGTTTTATTCGAATTTGAATTGTTTGCCGCTAAAATCACTAAGCAACGATTTTTTTTGAGGTGAATGATTCGGTGAAGGTATACTTTGATTAAAGTTTATAACTATAGTAGACAATAAAAAAATTAAATAGTTTTTTTATGGATATAATTTTATTAAAGAAAGACAAAGACAAAGAATTTCTTCAAAGATATACATCAGGCCGCGCTAGCGTCCTATCTAAATACATTATAATGAATAAGTATAAACTAATACATATGCATTTCTACTATGAATACGTTTCATGCTATGTGTTTTAATTTCATTTAATTTTGGAAATTGGAAAAAAAATATTTCTCGACAAAATATATTTTAAAACATCATTGCAATAAAAAAAAAACTTCCAAGTAAAAATGAATATATTGATATTGAGTACGAAAATTCGGTGAAATCGGTGAAATACTTGAATCAAACATAAACGTTTGAAAAACGTACGACGCGCGCCAAACCATAAGTGATGTCAAAGTGTATACAAAGAGTGAAGCAATAGTGCGTTTAATGCTATGTGCTATAGTGTCTCTGTTGATGTTGATCGCTGACGTTTATAGTGGTAGATATACATTTTAAAAGAAACTTTTTAGAGGAAAAAAATCGCTACAAAACGATGGTATTAAAAATGTTGGAAAAGTATTGAAAATCCATTTAAAAAAATGTAAAGAATCCGTCATTTGTCTTCACATTTATGAGTTATGGCTGGTTACTTAGCCACAACAAAGTATATAGGTTATTTTTTCATTTCCACGACTTTCGGATAGTCGCAACGTTCCAAGATCAATCTATAATCATGTATATTATTATTATGTAAATGTGTAGATTGTTCCATCGAACTTTGCCATTCATTCCCCAAACGTGCCCGTAATTCATCATGTGACAAAATCACAGTGCCTTCACTTTGCAAATCAAATTTTTTCAGTAATTTGAAGTTGGACACAAAGCGAAGTACATCATCAACAGATATCACATCGTAATCAAAAATAGCCCCAATTTCCGTTACCATTGGCAATGCTTGCGCGAGGCGTGTGACGTTAATATTAGATATACGACCTCTTAAAGTCCATAACGTTTTTATGGTTGGATGTTGGTCAATGAAGTCATAAAAATCTGACGTCAAATCTTCCCTTCTTATGAATTCAAAAACTTCAAGTTGATCAAACAGCATTGGGTAGTTGCTTCTAAGGTAATTAATGAAAAACTTTTTCACATTTTTCAAATGAATTTTTTTACCAGTGAAACTAGGAACTAATGCACTGCCATTCAATTCGAGTTCTTCGAGATTTAGCATTGGCTCCATCATACTCCGAAATGTGTCTTCGTCGAAATAAGTTGCTCCATCAAGCTGGCCATCTTCTTCTGTCCACAATGAAAGATTCAGTTTTCTGAGCTGTGGATTCAATCGCAAAATGGCCGCTATATTTTCCCTCATGGAAACTGGTACTTTTTTTTTGCTCCCAAAATTAATGTTTAAATCCTCCAAATGAGGATGATGATCCACCAGAGATTCATAACTATTGATGTACGACAGATCTTCCGGGCGTTCATCATTCATCAGAGGCCAATTGCCTCTACCAAGTCTATCGTATGTAAACCGTTTCAATTTTGGAAAGGTTCTATTCAATTCACCCTTTTCGGTGAAATGACAGCTACGCATTACAATTCCTTCAAGTTTTGTGAACGGCTTGGTGAATACGCTCAAATTAACACTCGACAAAGTGTAATTATAAAAATTTACCTTGATTAGAGATTGAGCACAATACTCATTGAGTGCATTAAGCAGTAAATGTTTTGTTTGAATACAAGTTCCCATTAAATAAAACGTCACGTGTTTGATTGCGTGACCAAAACAGCGCAAGAATTGAAGTGAAGTTTTCAAATCTCCAACTTCGAGTTTTTTTATATCCTCCACAAATCCAGACCCCCATCGCTGTACGTATTGAAATTGTATGTTCTTCTCGCCATACTTTCGAATGTAAACAAACTCGGCTGCTCTGCGTAGTCTTTTGTTGGCATCAGCCACATGCAAAAGATCGCCCAATTCCAAATGCTCGAAGCATTCTTCGAGGCAAATGAGATTCATGTCCGTGATTTTCATCTTTTGTCGATGGAACCTGTAGAGAAAATTGGAATTAAATCAGTTCAGAAGTATTGAACGATCTTTGGCACTTAAAAAAATGATTTATGAAACACATGGTTCCAATAATGATCCTTGAACTATGTTCTTTGCTATCAATGCTATTGCTAAATTTTGAATTTAAAGCGAACGTTGATATTTAAGTCAATGCAACTCGAAAAAATGTCCAATATAAATGTCCTAATGTATAAGATTGTAACTAACTACGAACCCTTTTCCTTCGCAGATACGTGAACTTGGTATGGATACGGTCTTGATATGGATTTAGAAAAAAATCACACAGGAAATAGTTATGTAAATGCAGTTCGTTTTGTAAATTGGTGCATGCAGACCGTTTGAAAAGAACTGGCTATGACTTTGACAACAACCGAATTGCAACTGATTCAAATATTCAGTGTTTCTTCTCTTATATTTGCGTGTCATGAACTATTTCCGACAATAACCGTACGACAGAGGGGCCAAATTAGGTGACTTTTGAGAAATGTAACACAAGCAAAGTTTGAGATCGAGAGATTAGTGCATTGTGTTTCTTGGAAGGATGGTGGTCACAAGTAATTAGATCGATGCAGACATAGACATTCAGCCGAAATCTGCAGTGGCTTGGGCATTTGGAGCAACACACATTGTACCGTATGATTATACATTTTCTGAGAATGTTTAAATCTTCACCGAGTTCAATAATCTTCGGCTTATTTATTAGTGGTTTGAACTACTGTGCTTAGCAAGCATTCCTTGATAACTTGAAGATGTGCGCCGAACGTTGTAAAAGTTTTGTTTGACTGGTGCATGAATAATTGATCCAAACAAAAAAAAAGAGAAAAATAAGCTATTGTGTGCCGTCATTCTGACGCTATCCCCACATTACGTTCCAAAGAAGAAGAAGAAGAAGTATCACTCGCAGCCAAATCCTTGAAAGCTAACGCTTCTATCAATCCAATTTATAATTTCAAATGCAATTATGTTCGAGATCATTTATTTTTCAAACCAAAAACTCACGCTAACAAAATGCATGCATTCGATGTCTCTATTGAAAATTGTTGCTACTAACAAAGAAAACAGTATCTTTATTCTGGAAGGGATTCCTTCAACAAATTACATTTTGAAATGAACTTTTTAATTTTCAAAACAAAAATCCATTTCAAAAGTCAGAAGTTCAGAAATGTAAAAATGAACGGAAAATTATCAAAAATATGAAGAAAATACTTCGATTCAGATGGATGTACCATGAGTTGCCTTTGTCCTGAAAAATATTTGAAATCAGGCGCTGGTAACCATAACTGTTTCTGTTTCAAAGCTGTAAATACAAATGAGCCCGACATATGTACGATTGGGATTTATTCGGGCGAATATGCGTCCACTGTTGACTCAATATAGTCTATAGTCTAATCTCATTGATTTATGAACATATTTTACAATTATACGCATATATGTATTCAGTTATTTGCCATCTCTTTCCTGTACTTTGATCAATGCAATCGTTTGAAATGAGTTTCTAAACAAAATTCTACAATGACACCAACAATAACTAACCAACGAATGCGGTACAAGTGTTGAGCAAACAAAAAAAAACATTATTTGACACAATTTACCATATGAATAGGCATTTCTTTCACCTGTGAAATGACAATTGATTCCATAGCGGCGAAGCGTTGGATGCAAGAGGCGCGTAGTATTGTAAGTACCTAAGTATTGTTCATACTTTGCCGCACTGACGTTTTACTTTTCCGTACACAACGTGTCAAGGGAAAGTATAGGAATTGGTCCCGAAATTTTTTTTCGCAAAATTAGCTTAGATCATCATAAAAACTCATGAAACGCGTAGAAAACCACTTTTTGAGACACTTTTCCGTTCGTGTGCCGTCGTCGTTGTCGTTGTCGTTGTCGTCATTGTCGTAGCTGTTTGTAAACACGATAACTCAAAAAATAATTGAGATAATCAAAATCTGGAAATGCTAAAAGTTTTGTATCCGAAAAACTTAGTTTAAGTTCGAAGATGAGTCATTTTCGATTTGACCCTGGGGTACTTGCCCTAAGAAAAACCTCAAAAAATTGACACTTTTGTATGGGAGGTACCTGTAAATCGACTCCGATTGGCTTCAAACTTTCTGGGATTTCATTTTTTGGGAAAAATTTTTGGGAAAACTTCTGAAAGTTTGAAACCAATCGGAATCGATTTACTGGTACCTCCCATACAAATTTTTTGAAATTTTGACTAAAATTACCGATTTTTGGACAATTTTGTATGGGAGGTACCCGTTAATCGATTTTGATTGGCTTCAAACTTTCTGAGGTTTCATTTTTTGGAGAAAAAATAAGATTCTGAAAGTTTCATGTTGATGGCATTTGCAGAAGTTTGATTTTTTGTCCTCAATTTTTGTAGAAATTTTCTTGGAAAAAATTGAGGGCCAAAAACCAAACTTCTGCAAATGCGATCAACATGAAACTTTCAGAATCTTATTTTTTCTCCAAAAAATGAAACCTCAGAAAGTTTAAAGCCAATGAGAATCGGTTTACGGGTACCTCTCATACAAAATTGTCGAAGTTTCAGTTAAAGTGACCGATTTTTCACTTTATTTTCATTATTTTATTTTCACTGCCTTTATTTCAAGAAAATTCACAAAAAATAACCAAAAGTACGTACGGACAACGCAGGCCAACGGTACGGAAAAGTTCGGGATTACCAATGTAATTCTTTTTATCTAATAAACAATGACAATCAATGAATCAAGCAACAAGAGAGCAACAAGTTTGTTTTTGAATATAATTCGA